AGCAACTTTTCGGTCAACTGTAGTACACAAAATCACAGAATACCCCGCCAGGCACTCATATTGTTGTAATGACTTTGATTACTTAATTTTAAGGGAATTAATTATTATTAATTCATTCAGGTTTTAAAAGGACTCGAATCTGAAAATTCTGAGTCAACCTGATTAAAGCTGAATTCAAATCTGATAGTTTACACTTTAAATCAAGGGTCGTCCAGCGAGCCGGTGATTCTTGGTATATTTTAACAATTTGAATATCTGTATTCTCCCTGGCCACGGGATAATACAATTATGATAATTTGTAAGCTCTTAGCGAGGTAACGTAATCTTGGCAAAGGTTTTAACCTTGAAATTATATGACACCAACAATGATTCTTTATAAATGAAACATGAATTTTATTGGCTATTCTAGATTACATCAAAACTAAGCTAAAACACACATACACACAAACATACAGTTTCTTTAGAATGAGAGTTGACGGAGTTGCATGAAGTTTCAAAGCTTCTAACTCGTTTTCACGAGTGATTTAAATTCACCTGAGAGAATTCACAAAGCAGATATTTTCTTATCTTTACTGCTTAACTAAATTCACCAGCGTCAGTTCAGCAGATAGAAGGTTTTGTTTGTACTTGCGTTTGCTGAAAGCTGAGTTGTTGAGAGGTTTTTGGTTACTGACGAAGGCTTCCTGGATGGCTGCTGAGGGAACCCCGGAGCTTTCGGATTGGTCGCTGAGGTGACGTTTGGATGACGTCCTTTTGGGGAGACCCCTCGTTGGATTGGTTGGTCTCTTGATGACGCCAGAAGCTTGAGCAGTTTTGCTACAGTCTGAGTTTGCAAGACTCAGAGTTCTTTGAAGATCGCGAAGTTTCACTGAAGTGTTTGAGTTTTAGATGACCGATCGCTTTGATGGTAAGCGTGTGAGCACAAGTTGGAGTGCTCTTAACACGGCGACAGGCGAAAGCAAGCAAGCAAATCTGTTCTGCATTGAGTTTTGATCCGCTGCATAAGTCCGTCCCATGACGCAACCTTCTAATCGACTTGTTGCAAGGCGGAGCCTGCATACATTACCAAGAGGCTCCAATTTATTATGTGGAGAAATGAAGATTTGCAGGTTTTGTTAATAACTTCTATATAGTGTCGTACAACACATACTGTTTGAAATAACAGCTTTTCACTTATTTCAATATTCTGCAATTATCACAAGTTTACGTTCAATACTAAACTTCACATATCTTACACACATATTAATAACCTCCTTTCCTAAAAAGGGTAATAAACACTGATTAAAGTTGCACCGATTACATGAACACATCAAGCATATATATATAAGACATACAACATATTATTTGTGAATCTATTGCTCCGATACTTTCAAATGATTGTCGTATGAATCGTCTGTGTAAGTTCGTGTCCCTTTTTTTGGAATGCAGGGGGGAAAGGGGAGGTGTCCTGAGGTCATGCCCATGTCAAGCGAGTGTGGATCTGCCATCCTTCTGCTGGACAGGGAGCTCTAAAATTGTCTCTTTTGTTGATCGGATTTAGCAATTTATGTGTTAAATGGTCAGGGGTATCACGCATCTGGTCCTTGAAAGCCCGTAAAACCAAGATAGTTTGTATCCTAGTTTGAGTTAGGGTTTAAGCACTGTCTTTTAGGTGAGTCTCTTGAGAGATACGCTAAATAGGACAGGAACTGCTTCAACCCTTCACTGACCCTGCATGAGTTTTACGACCGCAGCTGGTTGCAGAGGAGTGCCTCAGTTTGTCTTAATGGAATGTGGTTGTTTCATGTGTGGATTCAATAGTGTAAGTGGGTCCGTGCGAAGACAGAGATCCTACAATGTATTGGTCCTCAACATATTTTTGACCGTGACCAGTCAGCTTTCTTAAGTTCAAACTCGCTCTCATTGATTGGTGCTTACTGCTTATTGTTTTGTGAGCAGCAGAACGTTTGGAGAGAGTGTAATAATACCAGAAATAATACCAAATAAAGTGAAATATTATAATGTGTATAAACATTATAAACACTATAAACATAGCTATACGTTAGTAGCCTATAGCTCACTCCAAAACAAATCATATAAATGTAACGGTATTCAGAACAGAACAAGTCAAATGTTTTATAAATGTATAAATAAAAATATATAAACCTAAAGAAACCAAAACAAAGCGAAACTGAAAGTACCAGGCGTTAATTGGGCTCACGTATCTCTCATTCGGCACAAATCCTAATGTTTCCATATTCGCAATGTATTTCAATGAAACTATTATTTATAATGTAGAGGCTTTGTACTTTATGCGCGCTCGTATATCGACAGAAATATCCTCTTCACATGAGCAAAAATGTACTTGGCATACAAAGTGGACCAGTTATACCACGGACTATTTAATTTGACCAGTGTAACCTTTTATATATTTGGTTGGCTGTATTTTATTTTGATAATGAACAGACTGCGATGTCAAGTTTGAGTTGCGAATATATGTGGTGTGTGTGTGTGTGTGTGTGTGTGTGTGTGTGTGTGAGAGAGCGCGAGGCACCGGCATGATCGAACAGCTGAAACATAAAATACATCATTTTTGGTCATACAGATAAGAATAAGACATAATTCGAAAGCACAAAGTGTTTTTTTATTTTATACACTTTTATTTTTGCACACTCAAAATAACAACAGAACTTTTGTGATTTTGTAAAATAAAGCAAGGATGCGCGTTTAATTAAAACTGTTACTTATTTAAGTCAGATATTTTTCGCATATTTATACCTATACTATGATTGAATTGAATTTTTATGAAAAAAATTATGAAAAAAAAACAAAAACATAATAATTGTTAATAATTGTTTTTGAAAGTCTTTTGTTCACCAAGGCTTTCTTTGATGAATAGAAAGTTCAATAGAACAGCATTTATTTGAATTATAAATATTTTGTATCCAAATTACTGTCACTTTTGATCAATTTAATGCATCCTTGCTGAATAAAAGTATTAGTTTCTTTAAAAAAAAAACTGACCCCAAGCGTTTGAATGTTAGCATAGTTTCACCTGTAAATATGTCATATTATGAATGAAAAATGGGTTGCAAACATGTTTTCTGTTGACTTTAAGATGTAACCTTACTCTATAACCGATTCGTCCCTCACAATCTAATTTTCATGTGCTTCACATTAAATATGCCATTTACCCTGTCCTTGATTCGTTCCCTTTAATCCACTGGGATTTTGAATCTCTCTCACATACACACGTTTGGTATATTCCTACACACCACTATATTTCCAGAACTTTCTACACCCTCAATAGAGTACTCCATCTTGCCCGTCAGCATACGCCCCTTAGCTTGAGTGCTGCTTTTGTTGTGTTGGTGCAGACCGTTGATGCACGGAAGGTTGCTCTGATGCTAACTGCTCGATGATGGATGAGGACAGTCTAGAGAAATCCGTAGTTAGCAACCTTCTCCAGTGCTATTGATTTCAGAGTACGTAGCATCCCTCCCCACACCCCTCACCTGCAACCAAACGCATAGAATCCAGATAGCATGAGGGTCTGGGAGCCTTTCCTTCTTATATTTGACAGATGAGTATGTGTAGAGGTCCGGAAGTTTTAATTAGACCAGTGATACATCGCTTTGTTGAATTCTACTTTTATTGCAAATTACTTGAATGCTGAATTCAAGTTTCATGCTGAATTATGATGGGTAACTACGGTTTACTGTGGTAAAATCACTGTTGAGGGGGTTATTGCTTTAAAATAGCACCCTTGTTTTTTTAGTCACAGATACGGCATCACGAAGAGTAAACTTGTTTTCTATATACATGTTCAAAATAGATTTATAAACTGCAAAGGAACTGTTCTTTACGCATATCAGAAATGCTCAATGATCCGCTGTCAAAAGAAACTACATTTGGTCAGGTCAGTTGGGCATTGTTATAGCTTCCTGTTTCCCATTTTAATCAATCGCTCTGCTTTCCCAGGTGGATCTTCATTTCCTCAAGGTTCTGACTGGGATCGCTACCCAAGGAGCCATTTCCAAGGAGACCCATAAGTCCTACTACGTCACCACCTTCAAACTGGAAGTCAGCACTAATGGAGAGGACTGGATGATCTATCGGCACGGCAAAAACCATAAGGCAAGGACTATGCAATGTGTTTGTGTTCACTATGTCTTTACAACTGACAAAAAGAGCACTACAACTATACCATACAACTATAACTACAATAAAATAATTAATCTGTAGTAACAACACCCAAAGAGCAGAGACTGGATTCACTAAAATCTTTATTCATCATTAATTCATCCATCCATAAATAAACAAATACATAAAGTATAATATATTAGGATAAATTATATATATTAGGATATCCAAATATATTAGGATAAATTATATATATTAGGATATCCTAAAATATTAGGATAAATTATGAGAAGTCTGGAAGAATACTCAATATTTTTTCTTGAATATTCTTTTTATTGATAAATTTATCTATGAATTTTTATTGCTTTGAATTGCATTTCATTATTTTCTTAAGAACAGCTTAATATTAGTCTTAAGGTCCTTGCACACTGAGAATTTTCATATGCGTTTTTTCTTATTCGTCATCCTAAAAATTTGTCACGCACAGAAACCTTGCACACTGAGTCCGATGCATGTTAATTAATCTGTTGCGAAAAAATTTGCAAAATACAATACAAAATGGTGTCTTCAAGCAGTGAGGATGATTTTGTTGTCCAAGAAAAAGAAAGAGGAAATATTGTTTCCATCCAATCTTGAGATTGCGTAGAGAGGAAGGAGAGTTTGGCTGCAGGATTATCCCTAACGATTCAAAGTTTACTTCAGGATGTCAGTGGCTCAGTTTGATGCTTTGCTAGTGATACTGGAGCCACATATAAAGAAAAAGGACCACCAGTTTCCAACAACTGTTTTCCAGGCTGTTCCACAATCATCTGCCTCAATCTGTGAATAGAATCAATCATCTGCTCCAATCTGTCTTTATATTCCGTCTCTTTGTATTCCGCACTTTGTTTGTCATACAGTGCTTTGTGCAGCGAGACGAAGTGGATCAACTTGTCAGACGCTATTCTGGATTTCTGGTTCACCATTCTGGTTCGCTTGTATGGTTGTCTCTGAATTGTCAAAACACCTGATTTTTTTTTATGACAGACGAAAGTTTCGCAGGCAGTGTGTAAACGTGATTGACACAACGTGAGATCGTATTTATTTTTTAACATGCAAAAATTTCGGACAAGAATTTCGGACTCAGTGTGCAAGGACCTTTAGGGAAAAAAAGCCTACTCTTGAAGTTCCCTTGTCTAATACAACAAATTCAATGCACTGGCAAATCTTTATGATGTATGTATCCATGATGCATCCATGTATCCATGAATGAATCATGCATTTACCTATTTTTAGGTAGCAAGTAGGCCAACTTATCATTTGCAAAGAACTCAAGTAAAAAAATAAGAAAACATTTAGGAAGTATTTTTGGGAATACTAAATATTCTTTCTTTTTTTTAATAAATACAAAAGTAGTTGTACATGCATGTGATCATTTGCAAAGAACTTAAGTAAAAAGACAAGAAAATCCTTTTGGAAATACAAAATATTCTTAAATATTTTTGAGTTAGAAAATAAAAAAAATTAAATGGTAGGTCTCCTTGTCATAATTTCAGAGAACTTAAGTAAAAAGATAAGAAAACACACGTATGTTTGTATGTATGTAGAAAATTATGAGCTATAACTATAGTAACTATGAGTATTGTTTAGGTTTGTGTATGTATGGATCAAGAAGAAATAATGCATATTATACTAATAGTAGCTTAATTTTGCCACCATGCCTTCCTAAATCATTAGACCGTTGTTTTCACTAAAAATGTGTACTTAAATGGATTATTCTAATAAAATCATAGGCTAAGTAATCCATTTTAGCATAAATCCAGTGAATTTAATTGACATAAGCTGCTGTAGGAGGAGTTGAGCATCTACAGGAAGAAGCAACTCAAGTTCCAGGTGAACTTTGCTGGTCTGAACAGAGAAAGTGACATGGGAACAGGTTGAGAGATGGTTATCTGGAGGTGGAGAACAATGAGGCCCTTTTTGCACCCGTATCTCTCTGGCCGTTACTAATGCCTGTGAGCTACTTGCCGTAAACACACCTGCGTGACCGGTCACACCTGGACCAGCGTGGGATATGCTCATACGTGTTTGTACATTATCGGAATTCAGGGTTTTGACCCATTCGAAGACCAGAAAAGACATTTTCCTTTTCTAGAGATACTGTCAAGACTAATATGAATTTTGTTTTGAGGAAGGCAGCAATTTTCCAAATTCAGTTATGAAGCTTTGGACAACCTTCAGTAACTCAATCAAAAAACATTTAAGAAGGATATAGATCTTTTATTTTTTGAAGATTATTTCGGCAAAATCAAATTATGATGAGGACACAACTGAGCAAACCCGACAGAAATGCTTTTGTTTGGCTAGCATTAGCGCGAGTAGTAATTAAAGCATCAATCAACCGCCGTTGCTTCATTTACCCTGCCTGTCCAATGACATGCTAATCTCTATTTGTTTTGACGCTGTCCGTCGATTGAAAGCTCATCTTTCTCGTTTCGTGACAACTAATCCAACTATAACCACGTTGGCCACAGTTTAATCAGAGCCTCAAAAAGATGCTTATGCATTTTAACTCTACTTTACGCCAAGGGACGCCATGAAATAAAAGTGCTAGGATTAACCTTTTGCTCGTCTGTTTAGTGGATCTGCTTTTGATTAAAAGATTAGTCTCCTGTTTGTTAATAAGTCGCACATGAAAGTAATATTGACCTGCAGACGTGACTGGGATTAACGCTCCGTACATAATCCTGGTCGCAAACCACTTTTATGATAGAGTTTGGGATGTAAATGGTTGAACTAGTTTAACAAGTTTATTATTGTTAATCATTTTGAACATGCTAGGAAAAGATCAATTTCTGAGTAATGACGATATATATATATATATATAACATATATATAAAAAATCAAATAATATCTGTAAATAAATCGAATAGATGCATAGATAGCAATTTCATTACAAAATCATTGTGAATATATCAGATATCAGACATATTCAATATTTCTATTGATCGATTTTTCTAATACTTTTCCAATTATAAGAAAATTGTTGGTAATTTTACTTTTTTCAGTTCCTTTCTGCTATCTATTCATAACATAATCACTTGATTAATTAAACAATGATTAATTACTCTTGTCAAATCTGAAGTACTCATGTATTTGCTTCTGTGGAGTGACATATGGACACATATGGATGAGCAGAGTGAGCTGTCAATTGTCTGTCTTGTACAGGCCAGTCCATAGCGAGTTTGAAAATGTGAGGGGGAGTAATATGTCATAATAATTTGCACCATCAGCCTAAAAACCAGCAGAAAACCCCCCCAGGAAAACAGCATTTACTTGGCCCCCATGAGACTATTTTTTAATCACACATTGCAAATGAGTCATTCCATGAAAGCAGTCCCATACGTGTCCACAACATCTGCTAAAGTGCACTTAAAAAAACTAATGTTTCACAGCCTTCAGTATATTAATTCAAAATAATTATAATGCATTGTATTAAAAATATTATTAATAGTGGTTCATTTTTACATTTCACGAATATATACTGTATATATATATATATATATATATAATTTTGCTATTGATTTCTGAAATTTGAAATTTAAACACCTGTCTTTACATTCTTGTGCTTGCCAGTCACAGTACACTGAACGATTATTTTGAGTATAAAAGTGCTTTAAAATATCACAATATTCAATGTGTTGCTTAATTTTACATATACAGTAAATTCATCGCAAATATATCATGAATATTTGACACCACTCAGCATTATTGCACACACATATATATATATACCCTCACTAAATGACAAAAAGGTCCCACAAGTGTGAAAAATTGCAACGTATCCTGTTTATTACTGAAATTCCTATAAATCCCTCGTTGACAGCAAGTAATAAATCTGTCACACACTCACTTGATACATAATGAATATAGTATATAAAGCCATTTAGCCTTTGCGTTTGCTGCCTGTGACAGAAAAGTGATGCCTGGCTGGGAGAGTTAAAAAGGATGAACGGAGAGAGACACAAAGACGCATGTAGATGTAAAACGAGAAAGACGAGAATAAATTGGGATTAAGGGGGGTGTTTTGTCATTTCTTTCCCCCACTAAGAGAAAGCTCACTAGAGGGGGAGCAGGTATTGTTGAGTAGTGAACACTTCAGTGTTCATTCACTCTCTCTCTCTCTCTCTCTCTCTCTCACACACACACATTGTCTGCTTTCCTTCTCTTCAAGATGTTGCTTAAGGCTTGTGAGCCACCAACCGGAACCAGCTTCAACTGTCAACATCTTCATCTAGAGATGAGTGAGGGAAAACAAGCGAACAAAGAGAAGAAAGAAAGATTTGATTTGAGGAAAGACAGCTGAAAAGCATGAATTTATGAATTCTTATTAGCATGAATTTCCATTTTGGTTCTTCCAGGTTAGTGGTGGTTCAGCTGGATGTCCAGCATATTGTTTCTGGTATAGCTGGTTTATCTAGTTAAGTATAAAAAAATATATACTATTAATTTTGTATTATTATTAGACATTTATATCTATATTTATATCAAACTATATACAGTATATATATATGTATATATATATACACACACACACACACATACATACACACATTATTTGACATTAAATTCATCATTATATGATTATGAGGGCTGGAGAGTTTTTTTTTTTTTGGAGGACTTAAAATAGTACAGAATCTTATTATTTATTAATTTAGATATTTATTTTTTTGATATTTTATTTATTTGACAATAAATATATTATTAATCTTCTTTATTGAAAGGAAGACGTTTCTTTTTTTATTTTTAATTATTATTTGTCTAAAAAAAATTTTAAATCTTAAGGTACTCCAGGTAAATAATTTAGGTTAAGTGCATTCAACAAAAAAAAGGAATATTTAAATTAATATAAGCCTACATGAATGTTAATAAACAGTATTAAAGGTGTTAGTTTATTTATCCAGTTGTTTTTTCAGTTTTATGTCATAAGAATTCTGATGTAAATAATAAAATCT